CTGCGTGAGGGCCCAGAGGGGTATTAGGGTGAGGCGTGGCAGAGAGGATGCAGCCCTGAGCCCCTCACCTACATTAAAAGCAGAGCAGTATTTTTATATCTGTTTCAATCTCTAGTTATTCAGTCTACAAATATTTCTTGAGCACCTATGTGCCAGGCACTGTCCTTGGTGCTGAAGATATGGCAGTGAGCTAAACAAAACTCCTGTTTTCACGAAGCTGATGTTCTAGGGCGGGGGTGGAGAGACTACTGCTTCTGGGGAGATGGAATAGACATCCTTCTCCCTATTCCTCCTGCTAAGTACAACTATACTCCTGCAACATTACACATACAGCAGCATGAGAGGATGCTAGAAGGTAGACAGGAGACAGGGACTGAGAGCATATTGCTGAGTGCTTTTTGGCTAGCGCATCCCGATTTGCACATGAGGAAGTCAGCAATCCAGCAATGCGAAAAGGCACTTGTACACGCACGCGCGCGCACACACACACACACATCACATCTCTCTATAGCCAAAGACCAGGAAAAGGGCAGCCTGCCAAGACAGAAAGTTTAGCCATAACTGCTCTGTATGGTGATACCTCACAGCAAAAAGCAACAACCCCAACAAACTGTGGTTTGACCTGCAGTCATGCCAAGGTTAGAGTCCCCTCACCAGGCTGTACGGAGGCACCTAACTGCATGCTCTGTCACCTGCTCTGGTGGTGCCCGAGTAGGGAGCTGAGACTGTCACTTTGCTGGAAAAGGAACAAACCCCAGCCCTTCCCAAGTGGCACTGGAGATCACATGGGGAGCCTGGACCTCTCCCCCAGCAGGCAGGAACATGACTGAACGTTTTCCCCCTAACACTGGGAGTCCCACTCTTCCTCAGCACAGTGCTGGAAGTTCTTCCTAGTGCGATAAAGCATGAAAACTAAATAAAAGGCATACAGATTAGAAAGGAAGAAATAAACCAGACTTGTCTGCAGGTGCCATGATTGGCTATGTAGAAAAGTCCAAGACAGCTACCAAAAAAAAAAAAAAAAATGCCTAGACCTAATGTATAAGTTCAGTATAGTTTCAGGATACAAAAAAAAAAATGCAAAAATCAATGACATTACTGTAAACTAGCATTGAACAGCTGGACAACAAAACTAAAAATACAGTACCATTTGTGTTGAAAACAGTGACTGCTTCTGCTTCATAAATCTAACAAAACATTTGTAGGCCTTCCATGCTGTAAACCACAAAATGCCCGGGACAGAAATCAGAGAAGATCTAAATAAAGGAGCTATCTAGCATGTTTGGGGTATACCAGTTCTCCTCGAGTTGGTATACAGGTTTTGTGCAGTTCCTATGAAAGGCTCAGCAACAGTTCTTGTAGGTATAGATAAGACTATTTTAAAATTTATTAGGAAAGGCAAAGGACATAGAACAGCTAAAATAAGCTTGAAAAAGACGAAAAGTGCAAAGAATCCATCTACCCAATTTCAAGACTTAATATACCGTTACAGTAAATCTAGATTGTGTGGTATTGGTGGAGGGTAGACACACAGATCAATGGTATGGAATAAGGAACCCAGAAATAGGCCTCACTGATATTTGACAAAGATGCAATTCCATTCGGTGGAGGGAGGGAAGTATCCTTTTCAATAATTGTGCTGGAAAAAAAAAATCACTCTTGAACTACACTCCATGCCTTATTTAAAAATTAACTCAAAATGGATCACAGACCTACATATACACTGTAAAACTATAAAGTTTTTAGAAGAGAAAATAGAAAATCTTTGGCATCTAGCTAGACCTAGGCAAAGAGGTCTTAGATTTGATATCAACTGGATCAAAAGCATAAAGGGAACATTTGACACATTGGATTTTAGCAAAGTTAAACATCTTTGCTCTGGGACAGACCTTGGTAAAAGGTTGAAAAGACAAGTTACAGAGGAAGAAAATATTTGTTAGCCTCCTCTCTGACAAAGGACTAGTAGCTAGAATACATTAAAACACTCAAAACTCAACAGTAAACAGCAACAACAGCAAAACAACCCTATTAGAAAGTGGGCAGGAAAACATGAATAGATCTTTTGCCAAAGAGGATAAACAGATGGCAAGTAAGCAACTGAAAAGATGTTCATCACCATTAGCCATTAGGAAAATGCAAATGGAAACCACAATGAGGTGTTACTACACATCTATCAGAATCACTAAAAAAAAAAAAAAAGTGACAACATGAAATGCTGGTGCAGATGTGGAAAAACTCGGCAATATCAAGGAACAAATGGTTGACACATATAACACCGGGAATGACTCTCCAGAGAATCACATGGAGTACAAAGAGCCAATCCCCAAAGTACATGCTGTGTGATTCCATTTATATAACATTCTTAAAATGACAAGATTATAGAAATGAAGAACTGATTGCTGGCTGCTAGAAGTTGGGAGGGGAGTGGGTGTGGCCATACAATGGCAGCAGGAGGGGTCACCGTGGTGATGGATGGAAATGTTCTGTATCTCAATTGTATCAAAGTCAATATGCTTGCTGGTCACGTACTATGTTTGCAAGATATGTGACCATTGAGGAAACTGGTTAAAGGGTATGTGGATCTCTCTGCGTGATTTCTTACAACTGCATGTGAATCTATAATTATCTCAAAATAGAAAGTTTCATTTAAAAACAAAGAATAATAAATAATAGGGGAAAAAAGCTACAGGAGAATTACAGGGTGTGGTGAGGGCTGAGACGATAGGGGGTATGTGATAGAGAGAGATACTCCTCCTCTGGTTGAGTGATCAGAGTTGGCAGTTGGACCTGGTCCTAGATAAGACTAGAAATTCACTTTAGAACTAAGCTATGTAAAAGAAGGGAATGTATAAAAAGTGATTGTATAAGAACTTGGGTTTCCAATGACAGAAACCCAATTCAAGTTGGCTTAAGGGGAAAATCTGATAAAGGAATTTGGGCACCCCTCACTGAAAAGTCAGGGATAATGGCTTCAGCTCAAGGATCTAGCTCCCTTTCATGGCTCTGCTCTGAGGCAGCTCATGAGTGGCAAGGTGGTCCCCAGCAGCTCCAGGCTCAAATCCCACCAGTGTGGTTCCCCAGGAGAAAGACAAGCCCTGTTTTCCAACAGCTTGAGCAAGAGTCCTGGGATTGAGTCTCATTAGCCGGGCTTGGGTATCACATGCCCATCAATGTGAACCAGACAGAAGCGACGCTCTCATTGGCCAGGTGTTAGCCATGTGATCACCCCTAAAGGTTGCGGGTGAGGCCAGCTCTATACAAACCATGTGGCCTGAGAGGAGGGGAGCACTGGTCCCTTAACAGAATGGATGCCGATCAGGCAAAACGAACCTGTGTATTCTCATGGAATCCCAGAAAAAGCCTGCTTCTTATTGGCCATGCTCATGTTCCTAATTTCCACCTCTCTAGTTAAACACATACCCCACATTGAACCAGTCTTGAGTTTCATTGCTCAGAGGAGAAGAGTATCTGATTGGACCAGCTTTTGTCAGATGTTCAGCCCTCATCCAGTCATCTATGAGCAGGGGTGTGGGGTCGCCTACTGGACTCTTTTGTGGACAAGGCAGTTCTAAGAGGAGCCAAGTGGACCCCATAGCTGTCTATTGCAGCCACTCAGAGCTTCTGGGAGATCTAAATTAGCTCTTATCATGAAAGAATAAGGACTCCATGAACGGTTTTGGTGATAAGGTATAGGTGATGATAGGGGATCCTCGGGAGAAAGGCTGAATCCTCACACTTCCCCTTGCTTTTCTTCTGGATGGCCAGGGGCAGAAAAAGAGAAGAGCAGTGGGTGTGGGAGGTGGTCTGACCTTGAGGAATGCATGCTGGTCATGTGGAGAGACCCAATGGGTGGTGGGCAGAATGGGAGATGGGATGCTCTGGGACAGGGCAACAAAGCTGAACCCTTGATTTGGAGGAAACCAGTCGTCAGGGGAGAGACTGGGGAGCAGAGACAGGGAGACCAGACCAGTAGAACCAGGCAGGTACCCACTCCTGGTGGTGAGAGGCCATTTCTAGAACAGACACTGGGTCAGAGACCAGCGGTCTCTGGCCTGCTGGTCCCCTAGTCCCATGCTGCCCTTCCCTCCTTTCCAGCTGTGGCTCAGACAGATTCTCCAGCTCCAGCTGGCTCAATGTACACATCAGGTGAGCATTGCCAAGAGTCCCCAGCTCTGCTTGGAGGAAGCGTGGAGCAGAAAGCCACGCAGGTCATTATAACTTCATCTCTCAGAGGGAGAGTTTGGAAATGAAGTCAGATGGAAGTGGGTAGTAAGAATGTTGAAAATAGCAATGGTAGTGATGACAGCAAGCTGTTTTTGAGTGCCTACTGTATGCACGAGGCACTGTTCTAAGATGTTTTTAATGGCTTCTCTCCTTTGATTCTCATAACAACGCCGTGAGGTAGTGCTGTTATGTCCATTGAACGGATATGAGGAATAAGAGGCAGAGACGTTAAGCATCTTGCCCAAAGTCATACATGAACAGAGGTAATTTAACCCCCATGGAACCCAGCTTTTAGGGTGTCTTCCCCCATCTACTTTTCTATCATCGGCTCCAACTAATCACACTCTCTCACTCCAGCATCCCAAACCTCCTGCAGCCTGAGGACTGTTCTCTACTGCCTCATGCCCCCGCACCTTTGCACATACCCTTCCCTCTTCCTGGAATGCCTTTCCCCCTGGCAGACACTCACTTATCCTCCAAGACCCTGTGTGACATAAGCACAGTTCTGTTCTGGTGACCTTCCCTGAGGCTGGCCCCCTTGGAGGGCACTCCTTGCCCTTTTCTTGCCTCCCAGTGATGACCTCTGTCATGTCTGTGCCACAGGGTACAGACTGTGAGTGGGGTAGGGACCAGATCCTGTTCTGCTCTATGGCAGCACCTGCTCAGGTCTGGCCCAGAGGGGGCGGCTGTGCAGGGTGAATGCTTGTCTGCTGGGTGGGGGTTTCCTGTCTCCTGCCCACCCTCACTGTGGCACCTCTCTCCTCCTCTCTCGGCAGCCTGGCGTGGGGCTCCTTTACCTGCTGCATGGCAGCCTCTGTCACCACACTCAACTCCTACACCAAGACGGTCATTGAGTTCCGGCACAAGCGCAAGGTCTTTGAGCAGGGCTACCGAGAGGAGCCGACCTTCATAGACCCTGAGGCCATCAAGTACTTCCGGGAGAGGTCAGTGCACATGGGGTTGCCTCTGGCCACCATTGAGAATCCAAAGCCTGGGGTTCGGCCTCAGTGGCCACAGGGCTCCAGTCAGAAACTGGAGTGAGTGCTCTGACAGAAGCATCCCTGGGCAGTTATAGGGTACAAGGGACAGTCTGGGTGAGGCAGAGTGTGGACCCTAGTATGTTGGAATAAGGTCCTCAAGGTCAAGGAATGCATCTGACCACTTGAGTCCTCAGAGTCCAGTTGGGAATAGAGAAAGGAACAGTAGATGGTGAGTGTGTGAATGCACAGATGAATGGATGGATGGTTCGGTGTATGTATGTATATATGGATGGGTGGATAGATGGGTGGATGGATGGATGGATGGGTGGATACATGGATGGGGTGGGTGGATGGATGGGTGGATGGATGGGCGGGTGGATGGATGGGTGGATGGATACATGGATGGATAGATGCGTGGGTGGTTGGATGGGTGGGTGGATGCATGCATAGGTGGATGGATGGATGGGTAGATGGATGCATAGATGGATGGATGAATGGATGGGTGGATGGATGATGCACGGATGGATGGATGGATGGATGGTGAATAATGAATAATGAATAATGGAGTGGAGGACAGACAGGCAGAAAGTTAGCATATTTCCTGGGACCACTTCCTTAAGAAACTACATGTTACCCAAATCCTTACCACAGGGTTTGCTTCTAGGAGAGCTGACTGGATGTGCAACAACGCCTCTCAGGGGCAGGGAACTGAAAGGTTGTCAGGAGTGATGCCGGACGCTCAGGAGGAAAAGGGGGAAGGAGGCTGTGGGGCTGGGCAGCATCAAGGAGCTGGACTCTGTGAGGTGGTGGAGGGGCTTCAAGCCTAGAAGTCGCATGCTAGAGGCCACGCATGGACCTCTCTCTCACTCTCTCCTGTGCCACGTGGGTCTCCTTTCTGTCCCTCGAGCACTGCAAGCCCACCCCCTCTTAGGGGCCTTTGCACTGGCTGCGCCCTTGCCTGGAAGACTCGCCTGGTGGGTCACTCAGACCTCAGCTTGAATGTCGCCTGCTCAGAGAGACCTTCTTTAATCACTCGGTCTAAATTTGCCCCACGCACCCTGTTCTAGTCACTGTTTTTTTCAGAGCACCTACACAATCTGACCTTATTCTGTTTGTCTGTTGGATAGTTTGCAGGCTTGTGAGCTCCGCGGCAGAAAGCCTTCGCTGTCACATTCCCCACTGTATTCTGAGCACCTACAAGTAGGCCAGGCTCCTAGTAGGTGCTTATTAAATTGGTTTTTTCTTCGGGTCATAAACTGAATTCTTCTCTTGGGAGACTTCAAGCCTGGCTGTGCCTCATGCTCTTTCAGCTCAAGCTTTACGATTGTCAGGCAGATTCAGCTTCCCAGCACCCCCACGCCAAAGTCCCAGGCCAGCTGTCCAGTCCTGGGGCCCCTCAGCTGGGGCCGGGCCGGGGGGGGGTGGTCAGACTAACTCGGCCTACAGGGCCGCCTTGCCCATGGCTGTGGATGGAGCACGCTCACTAGGAAGGTGGCAGTGACTAGCATAGACCGGGACCCACAATAGGCACTCAGGAAGCATTTATAGCAGCCATACAGACCACCCAATGTCTAAAAACACCCTATTAACACTGCATCTTGGCTGTGGGAGGGCCTGGGGCACCCAAGGGCAGCCCTGTTTTTGCGGAGTCAGAAGACAGTACCCCGTCAGCAAGAAGTTACCGTTTGCCGGTGCCCTGGATGGGATGGTCCCTCACAGCTCCGGCCCCAGCAACATGGGGGCAGATGAATGGGTCCTGGCATATGTGCAGAATATCACTTTACACGTTCATAACTTGAACATTATGCAGAGGTTCATCAAATTTTATTTCCCTTCCTCTCTGAGGAGAGCATTTCAGCTTAGCTGGGCTGTTCTCATTTCTTTTTTTTTTTTTTTGGTGCCTTCCCCACACAGAGCTCAGAGCACATAGATAGATCTCTGCACAGCCTGCTGCAAGTTGCCCAGCAGCAGCGGCGCTGAAATTCTGTGGTGGCCAGTGTCCCCAGAACCTGCAGTCAGGGACAGGAGGGGTTAGAGCCCAGGGGCCCACCCGCCTTTGTCTCCTACGCCTCAGGGCTGCAGGGTGCTGCAGAAGGAGCAAGGGGCTGGCAGGAGCCTCGAGCTGAGTGCGTGGGTTTTGTTCCAGTCCTGTGGCTTCGCTGCTGTGTGGCGTCTGGCAAGGCACTGAGCCTGTCTGGGCCAGTGGCCTCGGTCCCCACCCAGGTGGGAGAGCCCTGAGCCATCAGCGTCCTGGGAAGTCACGCTTTGATAACCCAGGGAGTGGGCTGGGCATGGTACCAGTACCTCGATTTGTGTTTATGAGTCCATTTCGTCTGCTCCTGATGTGAACTCTAAAGCTCGGTAATGATGCGTTTAGGGTGATTGGTTTAGTGATTGGCTTAGGAGACGGCACTTGAGATACTAGGAATCTAATAACTGTATGAATGACTGCAGAAGACGTACGTGCTAAACACTCTTCTATCTGCTCTAAGCATGACTCAGTGAATTCCATAGCACCCCAGTGGGTGGCAGGTACTATTGTGTCCCCATTTTATAGATGCAGAATCAAGGCACAGAGGGGTAAAGGGACCTAAGGTCACACAGCTGGCAAGTGCCAGAGCTGGGATTTGAAGCGGGCTGCAATCAGTCTCGTGACGTGTGGCCTCTCAGGACGGGGTCAGCAGTCTCTGCCCAGAACTGAGGTGGGAGCTGGGCTTGCAGGGGTGAATGAGGGGAGTCTGCTGAGGGTCACAGGTGGAGGGTGGGCGCGGTGCCCTGGGAGAGGGTGCAGGGTCTCCCAGCTGTCCCTGCCATTCCTCTCTGGGGGAGAGGCATTTGTGGACCCTCCCTCCTTCATCCAGGCCCCTCCTGCTGTGCTCCCGACCGAGGACAAGATGGCACCTGCAGGGGCAGGAATTCTCTGCCACCATGCCTCCCTCCCCAGCCCCTACTGGGGTTTTCTCTGGAGGAGCCCATGCAAGTCTCAGGACCCGCTGGGCAGATTCTGAACAGTTTTCAGGGGTTCTGAAATGCAGTGGTGTGTGTGTGTGTGTGTGTGTGTGTCTGTATGCACGTACACGGGTACCCATGTACTACCCATGTACACACATGTACACACTTGTGCAGAGACTGGGGAGCCCACCCCAGAGTCTGAGCAGCTTCGCCTGCTCAGAGGAATGTCTGGAAGTAAGCTCTCCCCAGTCACCCTGCCTCCCATCCCCAAGGAGGGCGTCTTAATGGGGCCTCGGGAGGGGAGGGTCGGAAGCTGTTGAACGAAAGGTAAATATTTGCAGGCCTGGCTTGAATGCCTGATGTTACGATCCGCTTTCACAAGGCGTGGAGGAAAGCCAGTCCTGTTGGATTGGACTCCAGGAGGAATTCAGCTGCACTGAGCAGACATCCCGCCTCCCTGGGGAAAGCCGTGGGGGTGGGACAGAGAAAGTTCTGGAGCTTCCAGGGGGAGCCGGCTCCTGCCCCTCTGGTCGGGGGCTGAGCTCACCTCCATCCTTCACCTTGCTCTGTGGCTGCCTCCTTCCTGTGTGTGCACACACTGCCGCCTGAGAAAGTCGGGGACCGCCTTTCTGGTTTCCACTGGGTCCTGGCCCCTGGCACCTCAGGGGCCCCGTAAGTTATCTAACCGACTATCCATAATATTACGTCCTAGCTCACAGTGCAGGACTGTGCCGTGCCTGGGCCTGGCCCACCCGTACTCACTGCACCCAGGATGCACGCATTAAGAAGTCCACCGGAATGGAAATTGACTCCACAGTTTGTGAGCCGTGGGTCCGTCCCCAGCTATGGGCCACTTCCCCTCCTGGAGCCTCAGTTTTCCTGGCTGGAAAATGGGCTGACACCTTCCTCGCCCTTTTGATGATTCCATGAGATGATGCAGGGAAGCTTCTGTAACTAAACCAGGGCCCCCCTCCCCTTGCCCCAGCCACACCCCTGCTAGAAACCTCCCTGTACAGGGCAAGTTAAGACACAACCTGCCCGAGAAAGGGGCACAGCACGTGCTAGACACTAGTGGCCCCTGGAAAGCCCAGCAGAGACAGACATGCTTTGTTTGGCCCCTGAGGTGGTTTAAACATGTTTCGATTTTGGCTGAGTTTTAAAAATCAGGAGGTTTCACGTTAAAATATCCGGGGTTTTGCTTCTCATGAGAAAGCGGAGGGTCTGGCCTCACCGGGCCCCGTTCTTGCGTGGTGTCAGTGGGCTGGAGGGAGGAGCATGTGCCCCCCTCGCCTGGGGGAGTCCTCCAGGCTCCCCATCACCCACCTTGCCCCTGGCTCGGGGTCTAGTGAGTGCCATCAGCATGGGGCTCTTGGAGGTGATGGCAGGCAGGCCGAGGGCCCGGGCCCACCCCCGGGGAGCTGGAAGATAGAAGAGCTTTCAGAGATGAGACCCTCGAGCCAAGTTTTGGAAGACACGTGCAGCGTTCTGCAGCCAGATGGGCAGTGGGTGAGAGAAGGCGTTCTCAGCCCCAGGCAGCAGCATGAGCAAAGGCCAGGAGGCGGGGTGCGCACAGGCGGATTTAGGAAAATCTGAGCAGTTGGGTTGATTTATGAGTGGGAGTTAGACCTGGGTCCCTGATCTCGCTCCTCCCACAGTGCTGGGGTGAGAATGTCGCAGTAGGAGCCCTCCCCAGGGGTGCCTTCTGGGGTCACAGCCCTCACTGTGCCCTGAAGGCAGACACCGGGCAGTGAGACCTTGAGCTGGGGCTGGTGTAGAGGGGAGATGGGCCTGGGGCATGAATGATTCCCACACAATCGAGGGGCTGAGCCCCACTTTGCCCATCCCCCTGCCTGGTGCAGAGGGGGCTCTCTGCTTCCCGCCCATCCCCCAGCCTGGTGCAGAGGGGCTCTCTGCTTTCCGCTCTCTTGTTTGCTGTAGGAAAACTCTTGGGAAGGTCTGTGTCTGCTTGGTCACCTCTCTCTTACAGCACAACCTGCCGTAGTCTGCCCTGC